TAAATGTAAGACCTGAAACCATAAAACTCCTAAAAGAAAATATAGGGTCTAAATTTGCAGACATTACCCTGAGCAATATTTTTACTGATACATCCCCATGGGTTAGGGAAGTAAAAGAAAAAATGAACATATGATACTACATCAAACTTAAAAGTTTTTTCACAACAAAAGAAACCATCAATAAAACTAAAAGGAAGCCTACTGAATGGGAGAAGATATTTGTCAACGAGATAATTGGTAAGGGGTTAATATCCCAAAATATATAAAACACTCATGCAACTCAACACCAAAAAACAAACAACCCAATTAAAAACTGGGCAGAGGATATGAAGAGACACTTCTCTAAAGAGGACATACAGATGGCCAACAGGCATATGAAAAACTGTTCAACCTCACTAAGCATTAGGGAAATGCAAATAAAAACTACAATGAGATACCACCTTACCCCGGTCAGAATGGCTATCATCAATAAGTCAACAAACAACAAATGCTGGTGAGGTTGTGGGGAAATGGGAACCCTGGTGCACTGTTGGTGGTGCAGCCACTATGGAAATCGGTATGGAGGTATCTCAAAAAACTGGAAATGGAACTACCTTATGACCTAGCAATTCCACTCTTAGGTATTTATCCAGAAAAACCCAAGACATTAATTCGAAAAAATATATGCACCCCTATGTTCATTGTGGTGCTATGCACAATAGCTAAGACTTGGAAACAACCAAAATGCCCATCAGTAGACGACTGGATTAAGAAACTATGGTACATTTACACAATGGAGTATTACTCACTATAAAGAAGAAGGAAATAGTACCATTTGCAACAATATGGATGGAACTAGAGAACATTATGCTAGGTGAAATAAGTCAGTCAGAGAAAGACAAATACTATACGATCTCACTTATATGTGGACTCTAAAGAACTGAATAAATGAGCAATGTAAACAGAAATAGTCTCAGAGACACAGAGGAAAAACTGATGATGGGACCGGGGTGGGGATGAGGGAGAAGGGGAAGGGATGAGACAGTACAAATTGGTAACTACAATATGGCCTGAGGGATAGAAAAGACAATCTGGGGAATATAATCAATAATATTGTAAATATTTTTAGGGGGCCAGATGAACTCATGTCCTGTTGGGGAGACCACTTCATAGTTGGTGTAGAGGCCTGACCACTGCACTATATTTCTGAAGCTGATGTTGAATAATATTGTATGTCAACTATAATTATATACACATATAGTCTCGGGACATGGAGTAGAGAGTGGGAATGGAGTCAATGGAATTGTAATAGATAAGCATGATATTGGGGGTGGGAGAGTAGTAGATGGGGGACAGGGGTTGTTTCTGTGTGAAGGGTGAAAAGGAAAACCATTGCATTGTTCTGTACACCTGAAACTAACAATAAAAAAAAAAAAAAGGAATCTTCCAGCATGGGCCCGGTGTGACAATGTTGAACTGTCAGAATGTCCCAGCATATACTTTACCACTCACCCTTATTGTACAATAGGGCTTATGTTTCAACTAAAAAATTGTTTCAAATCACCCTAAACTCTGAATCTGGTTCAGAATCCAGCTGTGCCTCTAGACTTTGCAGAGACAAAAGCAAACAGTTACATATAGACAGCAAGGGCTCCCTAGTCACCCACTTCCACAGAAGTGTCACTCCATATTTACTCCTGTAGTGAGTGATAGTGCTGACCCTGAGGAAGATGACAAAAGAGCACAAAAACTCTGAGCACTCAGCATCCTGTTCTAAGCAGATTCAGACTCTGACCTTGGGGAGCAGAATCCCAAGTACCACCATCTGTCCCCACACCCCAGTGTCCCTGCCTGATTACCTGCAGTGCAGCCTGGTTTGCAGGAGATGGAGGAAGCCTGGTTCTCCATTCTGACCTCAACCAGGAGAGGGAAGGCCCTGTCATCGGGTTCTTCAGGCCCAGTGGGTGAGTGAGGGGGCAGGGGAGGGCACACCTGTCCCTCAGGAGCATGGCCTCCATAGCCTCAGAGATGCTCCTAGCCTCCTGCCTCCAGGACCAGAGTCTGAGATGGAGTCCATGTGTAAGGACCCACAGTGAGTAGTGACCTTCCTAACACCTGGGAAGAGAATGTCATCAGGAATCGACAGGTCATTATGTTCACAGACAGGGGAGCTCTGTCCTCTGAGAATTCCTGCTCAGCAGCACCACCAGGCGACTGTGCAGGAGACAACGGGTGGGATGAGTGTGAACCAACACTTCAGCAGGGAACCTAGAACCAGTGGGAGCTCTGCCATTTGTCATATGGGGTCCACGAGAAACAAACTGCCTCTACATCACTCCAATGTAGGGGGCTCTGGAGGCTGGGGTGTCCACGTGGCAGGTGTAGATATTGCCACTCCAGCAACACAGGAGCTGGAAAATCCAGTCCCTGTTTCCAGTGTGCTGAGCACAATGCTGGCTGGCTGTATCCCATGGACAGGGTCATGTCTTTGATAAGTGTGACTGTTACCCAGGTTACGCCAATCAGAATCTTGGCTAAAATGGTTAAAATTCTGGTAGACACCCTAGAAACACATAACAGAGACAGACAGAGACATACATACACAGAGAGAAACAGAGATGGGATTAAATGTGAGGTGATGAAAAAGAAATGCAGAAAATAGAGAGATGCAAAAAGAAACACAGGGATAAAGAGATGCAGGCAAATAGTGGAAAAAGTGTAGAAAGAGAAAAGTGAAAGAAAGAGATGCAGCAATACAGTGAGAGACCCAGCAAGGGAGACAGAGACAGATGCAGAGAAACACACGATAGAAATATACAGGGACAAAGAGAAAGAGAGAAAGGCACACAGATGCAGATAAAACAGAAGAGAGAGACGAAGCTCTCACTGACTGCATGGACTTAGTCACTTCTGAATCAACTTGACCCCAGGCTGACTTATAACATGAACAAAATACATTTGTGCTGGATTTCTATCATTTGAAACCAAAAATAGTACTTTTATTGCTGGTTATACTTTCTCAAATATAAAAATTGATCACAATCAATGTGACTTGCCAGGATATACTTGAAACACCAGCGACCAGAGGCTACTGTATGAGTGCAAACAATTCCACTGTGCTACTTAAGTTCTCACCAGACAGGACGAGGGGCGGTACATCCTGAGACCACTGCACTCAACATCAGTACTAAAGAACCAGGAAGGATGTTATGATTGAAATGATCTTCTGTCTCCTCTTTCCACCCTTACATGGCACCCAAAGATGCTTCTAGTCTCCTTTCAAGGAACAACCCCTCCTTCTGGTCCCAAGTTGGTTGGGTCACCTCAAAATATGTTAACTTTCATTCTGCATTGCTTTCCTACCTCCGCTCATTTAAGGGGGTTCAGGATACAGATAACTCATAATACATTTAATTATGATGAAAGCTGTAGGCAGGTAAATGGTTTTGATGTGCTTCTCTTGAACAGTCTGTGGGGGGAGAAAAGACACAGAAAAACACCCTGGGGCCTGAGCAGATGCTGCTGGGAGGCTCCCGGGGTCCGTGCAGGAAGCAGCATGGCAGGCAGATCCTTGGGGTGGGGGTCACAGGAGGTGACCTGAGTCCATTAGTGTCATTGTAGGACTCTGACCTCAGAGGGGCAGGCTGACAGGCAGCTGGGAATTCTGGGCAAGGGCGGGCAGGCATTTCAGAAGAGAGAAGACCAAGGCCAGTCCAAGTGTCCTCAGGAGTCAGCGCAGGAGCCCTGCAGGAGAGAGAGTGATCAGCACGGGGCACCCTGAGGGACGTCCTCTCCCCTCCCCTGGGGCCCTGCAGCATCAGACAGAAAGCTGAGGTCCAGGCCATGTCGTCACTGCCTCCCCCATGTCAGTGTAAAGGTGAAATCAGCTAAAGAGGACAGGGCAAGTTAGCTCAATGCAATGTGTGAACGCCAGGGAGCCGCTGTTACGCTTCTGTGGAACATGATTTCACTGTTTTTAGTGAATTAGATGACAACTGCCTTCCTTCCACTACTAGGAACCTCTTTCCATCACTTATTAATATCCACAGGCAGTGGCCACCAATATCTAGCACAAAGTGGGCACCATCCTGGTGTCTAACACCAAGACAGGCTCTGGCTCCAAGTTTCACAGAAAGATGCCACCAAAGTTATGGCCTGGTTCTGGATGACAAGCCTGGGGATTCCTACAGAAACTGGGCAAACTGCTCCCCCAACTCTTAATCCTGTGGCAGGGAACAGGCCATGAACCAGACCACTGTGCCCAGGTACACTCACCTCACGCCCTCCCCTCTTTTATCAGTCACCCCTCCCTCTACCCCCAATGAATAGAGCAGAAATAGTACCTGGCAGGGGGCCATGAAGACCTACAGAAGGAAGATACACAGAGAAAGATCTCATTACACAAACAGCAGGTCCTCACTCACCCCAAAGGGAAATGAGGTATGCAATTTAATTGGAAATTTATTTCCTCATTGCCCATCAACCACAAGGCCTTCACTGCCCTAAGCTAACCACCCACCTCACACACACCAAATGAATGAAACTATCACTAGACGGAAGAGAAGACAATGGTCTGACCCTCTTAAAAGAAGAAGCTTCTGGAAAGGTGCCAGTGAGATAACAATGACCTGTAAGTAAGTCCTAGAATAGGCTCCACCAGTCACCTGTGTTGTAGGGTGGCCTTTCAACCAGTAAAATCAGAGTCCAGTGTCTCCCCCTAGGCTGCTCCATCTCCCCACCACCAGCCCAGGCTCCTTCCTTCCTTTCAGGGTCAGGAGGTAAGAGTTACTCCTACAAGCAAAGACCTCCCTCAACAGTCTCAGTCACAGCTCACCGTCCCCATGTCCCCAGAGCTCCTTACCCTTCTGTTTCCGGTGATGGATGACAAGGCCCAGCCCGAGGAAGAGCAGCCCCAGCACGAAGCCCCCGACGCCACTCAGCATCTTGCTCTGGGCGGATTCAGACTGTGCTCCTGGAGGGCAGAGCCTGAGTGTCAGCCTTTGTCCCCACACCTGCGGAGTCCCTTTGGGAAGCCTGAGTCCAGTCTGAGGTACAGGATGGGGAGGTGCCAGGGGAATCCAGTTCTCCGTTCTTAACACCCTTAGGGGAAGACCAGACCACAGATCCGTGGACACTGTTGAGTGAGTGAGAGAAAGTGGGAAGCAGACCCCTGCTCCTCGAGACACATCCTAACCTTAGGCCTTAAGGCCCCAGTCACCAGCTGTAACAGCCGATCCCTCAGAGCTACCAGGCTGGGTTCTGGGGCCATGGTGTATGGAGTGACCTCCTAGCAAAGGCAATGAGGTCATGGTTCTTCCGATGTCCCTGTGGCACAAGAGGCATTCTAGTTCCTGGAATTTCCAGCTCAGTGGAGACACCAGGGATAAGGGAAAGGATGAGATGGATCAGGGGAAGTTCTGTTTGCCTTCTGTCTCATGTGGCCCACAATGAAAGGAAACAAACTGCCCCTTACGCCACTCCACCGTGATGGGGCTCTGGAGGCTGGGGTGCTCCACGTGGCAGGTGTAGACGTCTCCTCGCTGGGGGGTCATTTCCAGCATCACCAGGATCTGGAACGTCCAGTCCCCATTCCTGATAAGGGGGGTGGACACGATGCCAGCTGTCTCCTCCTGGTGGTTCCAGAACCACCGGACTTTGATGTGGCCTGGATAGAAATCTGTCACCGCGCAGACAAGCAGGTTGTGGTGGTTTAGAGCCTCTGTCTTGGATGGGGAGATGGTCACTGAAGGTTCCACTGTGGGGGAGTAACAGACAGGAGAGGGCATAGTGAGATTGAGACCACACGGCACGCCTCCCCATGGGGCGGGGTCCTCCTTGGAACCAGAGTGGAAAGATCCCCGGATTCCAACTCTTGGATTAGGATCCAAGCTGGGCTACTGTATCAGCTTCAATAAACATATTAGTTAACTTTTCAGTCTCCAGAGATAATAGTAGTCCTTCTATGGAAGTTATTCTGTTGATACCAATAGATAAAAATGAAACACTTTAAAATTATAAATTGCTATATTACACACGAAAATTTTAAAAATTAAAAAAATAAATATAAACCTGGACTTCTTTTTCCCTACACCTACTGAAGGTGACAATCAGGATCAGCTCTAGTGAGTCTCACTAGGGCAGTGACACTATTTTCTGTTAGTCCCAGTGCCCCTCACAGCATAGAAAGTACATCAGTTTTGAGTCTCCCGCTGGCCATGAGAGCATCAACACTAGTCATGGCCCCATGAATAGTAACATGGACTGAGGATTAAAAATGTATAGGCGTTTCTATGTCCAACAAAGTGGGACAACTGTGACCATCACATCCTTCCTTCAAAGCAATACTTCTCAAAAAGGCTATAATCTATAACTCTCAGCGTGGAATACTAACAGAATTTGAGAGCAACAGCACTTCTTAACATGTTGCCCATCAAAGCATCTCTCTTAGCTTTTGGCCTAACCTTAACTCACATACCATTCTGTGGTAAACTCTCCATAAAACTTTATATTATTAAATACACAAACTTCCATCTCTACATTGCATATGACACCTATATTTTATTCAATTGTTGATTCATTTATTCATTCATTCAACAAATAAAATTTAACAAGCCCTGGGACTAGAAAGATAAACAACAGACCATGTCCCTGCCTTTACAGAACCTGCAGACCAAAAAAAAAAAAAAAAGTATGTTATCTCAAAAGTTTGTAAATTTTGGAGAAAAAGAAGGGGAACCTTGAAAACAAGTAACACTGATAAAACATCATCTTTGCCCATGTCTGGATTCCTGTATCTTCCAAATTGCTACTAGTAGTCAAATACGACACCCCTCTCCATACCTCCTTACACATCTTATCCTTTATCTCTCCAGCCATTTTACTGCATCTCCCTTATTCCAATAGTGTGAAACCATGGCAAATATTTCATGTGTGTTTTGTCTATTTGATAATATGTTATGTTTTCTTATTTTCTTTTTTCCCCCTAATTTTCTTTTAACATTCAAGTGAGTTTGCCTACCCTACTCCATCCCCTTACTAGTAAGAATCACTTCCTTGTTCTGAAGTCAGGCATTATTATCATGTATGTTCTCTGTAGAGAATATTCTGAGATTCCTGCAGAGGTTGGCTGGGTTAATGAGAATGTAATGTGAACATGGAAGCGTGAGTGGGACTTGCTGAGCTCAGCAGGCAGTCTCAGCACCCCAGTTAAATGCCACTCGGGAGCCATCATCTGCAAGGAACCGTGTTTTCAGCTTATACTTTAATTCTTGTTCAGGTGTCTTTCCTGGAGACTGACTGAAATCATAGTCATCTATTTTAACTTATAAAATCTGTCATCTTAGACAGATTGGGAGTAAAAACAGAGGGCACAAGCTCGAGAGAAAAATGTTAGAATAACTTTTATTTTAAAAAAGACCTGAAATAGCATAAATATAAGTACTTGGTAGCATTAGGATGTGGTTCAGAAAGCAAGAGGGTGTGAATATAAGTTAAAAGTTATATAAACATGCATAGATAACACTGGGGTCAGACTAAGAATTCATCAGTGAATTTTTAATCCCCTGAAAGTATCATTTTATTCCACCAACACCGAGAATAGGCAAGAACAGACTCATATTGTTGCTCATAACTCTCATAACTGGCTTTAATGAGGCTTTGCTTCCAACATATATGTGTAGTATATACATGTAACATATAACCTAATGACTGCTGTGTATTCTGGGGAGGCGTCAGGGTCTGGTGAATAACTGTGGGCTAATTACTTAAAGTGTTTATTATGTATCAATATTAGCATATTAAAGCAGTGATGTTAATTCCTAACACACAAGTAGTTGTGAAATTAAATAGCATGAAATAGGTGGCCTTTGGTATGGTAAATTGTCTAGAAATAGAAGCTCATTAAATGGGTGGAATTAACTTTCAAAATATCTACCCCTAAAGTGGACAGTGATGCTTGGGGGGCACGGGGTGGTGGAGAGGGGAGGGGAAGAAGATAGGCAGGGTCTAGGTCAAAAGGAACCTGAAACTTCTTTATTCAATAATTTAATAGCGTCAATTCATTATTCCAAAACTTCAGCTCTATTGGGCCATTTGTTGAGCTTTTCTAAGAAATTTAAGTTCTGCCTTACAACACCATTCAAGTGTTTTTATTTTTAGCAAACACTTTTTCTCTCAGACTTTGCATTCACAAATTCTAAAATATTATGATCCAAGTCAAGAGAGTTAAGCAAAACAGTACAAAATAATTAATGAAGTCAGTTTTTAATTCCCCTTCTGCTTTCTACTGAGTCTTAGTGGATGGGTAGCTGAGTACACCTACTCATTCATTGCACAAAGGTTTAGTGAGCTCACGCTGTGTCAGTCATGTGTCAGGTACGGGGTATAACAACGCAGTCCCTCGCCTCAAAGAGGCCCAGGACTAGTGACAGCCATTTAAGAAAACAGAATTGAGACGAATAATTTGACACCGATGTCAGAGTACAGTATGTCACGACTCTAACACATCCCCCCCGTGTGCGAGGTGCCCGCCTGCAGCGGGGCTGCAGCCCTAATCGCGGGGCGTCCGGTCCTTCAGCTTCGCGGTGGCGGGAGCCGGAGCCGGGCCTTGCGGGGCGCTCAGAGCCCGAGGCGGGGCCGGGGCGGGGGGATCGCCGGGCACGGGGCACCCCCTGGGGGACCCCGAGGGACGAGGAGGCGAGCACAGCTCAGCCCAGGCGGGGCGCGGAGTTAGCGGAAGAGCAGCGGCGACAGCGGGGCCACACCGCCAGGCCCGGCCGCCTCTGCCCGCGCTTCGGGGGCCGGGGACGCGCACCCCGCGGCTCCGCCCTCGGTCCCCGCCCTGCGCGCGGACGCCCCGCCTCCCTGTCCCCTCCCCGCGCTGCCCCGGCCGGCGGCGGACCGCGCTCACCTCGCCGCTTCAGGGTCGTGCGGGCCTCCTCGTTCTCGTAGTTGTGCCTGCACACCGTGTCCACCTCCGCCCGCGTCTCCTCCAGGATGTCCTGCTGGCTGTTGAAGTACTCGGCTTCCAGCCGCCCCAGCTCGGTCACCGCCACGTACTTCCCCAGGTCGCTGTCGAAGCGCACGTACTCCTCCCGGTTGTAGATGTATCTCTCCAAAAACCGCACCCGCTGCGTCCCGTTGGTGAAGTAGCACTTGGGGCTAAACTGGAACACGAAATCCTCTGCGGGGAGTCAGCGCCGCGGTCAGGCCTCCGCCCTCAGCCCCGCGTGGCCGCCTCCCTGTCCTGGGTCGCGGGCAGTTGGGGCAGATCCACCCGGAGCCCGGCGGCGACCTCGGCTCCCGCCCAACCCGCTCGGAACCGGGACCCTCGGGCCGTCTGAGGGCTTCCAGAGCGGCCTGCGGGACGGAGGGTACGGAGGGCAGCCTGTCCCCAGCGACAGGCCTGGGACCTGCCGGGGCCTGAGAACCGGCTGAGGGGGCAGTCGGGCGGTTTTACTCCCATCCCGGTACTTAGATCGGGACGCTCTCACTGAAACCCCATCCCCCATAGCACTCGGGGACCTCAGGGACAAACAAGCATCCACAGAAGCGTGTGCGTTCAAGGGAGTGACGAGAGAGGTCTGGAGTTAAGCCTGTCCTCGTCCTGATTGAATTTCTCATCGACCCCGGGCGAAGTGCCTTCCCTCCCACGCCGGGGTTACTCTGCGTTTCCATGTGAACCAGCTGCAGTGTGAGGCTCTCACTCCTGTGTGGAGAGAAGGGACCCAGCCTCCCTAGTCCTGGAAAGGAACGCCTGATTCATACATGGAAAGAGCACAGGCTTTAATCAGATCAATTAAATTCCAACTAAACTGTGCCTATTACCAGCTTGGGCCGGTTATTTGGAATATATTATAACCGTGTAAAGAATCATAATACCTACACATAGGGGTGTTAGGAAGATTGAGAGGAATCTAAAGATATTAATCCTGTGTCTGATATAAATGGTTCTCCATACGTATTATTTCCCTACTTTACTTCCTCCCACATACAGTGCATTGTCAGCTCAAGCCTCTGAATCCCATTCCAGTTCCATAAACCAGCGAAACTTGAAGTTAACACCCGGTGCCTGTGGTCACTCAGTCACCTTCACTCAGACACCAAGACTTTGCCCCACAAGCCCTCCGCTCAGGGTCAGGAATGTTAAGTCCTTTTCCTCAAACACTGAGACGACACAGGCCGCTCCTGCCCTATGCGTCCCCAACCCAGAATCCCACAGTATTTAGTCCAGACAAGGTCTTGGGGGGCCCTGAAATGACAAATCCTGCTTCTCTTCTTTGGAGAAATTCTTATCTTCAAAAATAACATCAGTGTCACTTTTTCCTGTCACTAGTAGTAGAGGCACACTTGGTGTCATCCTCCCCATTATAACATCCCCAGGCTTGAGCCTGTGACATGGGGATTGTCCTCACCTAACAAAGTGGAAATGAGAATGTATCTAGCTCTCTTTCCCAAAGAGAGGAAATGAGTGATAAAACACTGTATTTTGAGATCATAGAATCCCCCATACCCCAGCCCAAGGGTCCCTCAGAGCCTGTTGTCCAGAGCACTGGCTCTGGGGAGCAGCTGCCCTGCACTCACGTGGAGAATCTCTGCTCTCAGTCACTGGGGCGCTCAGCACCACCAGCGTCACCATCAAAGCTGCTGTCCAAAGGCCTCTGGGGATTCGCAGAGCCATCGTCCCAGACATAACTGAGAGCAAAGAAATAAGTAATGGCAGTCAACACAGCTCACACCTGGTGGCTCTGATGTACCCACTTCAGAGAATAAAAACCTGTGACAGAGTCCAAGCACGGTAGGATTGGAGAGTCCCTAGGAAAGGAACCAATCAGCACTGGAGCTGAAGGACCTCATCTGTCTCTGGGCAGACGTTTTTGCTAAAGGTTCTCAATCCAATGCCTGGCACTGTATCTTCATCAAATAGACTCTGGGTGGTGAACATACAATGTAATTTTTAAATGATGTGTTACAGAATTGTACACCTGAAACCTATGTAACTTTACTAACAATTGTCACCCCAGTAACTTTAATTTAAAAAAAAATCGCCCTGGATAAACATTTGAAGGGAAGATTTTCTCTATAGAAGGTCTGAAGATTGAATGCCTTAGGGGCTTAAAGAACCAAAAGGAAAAATGACTCAAGAGTAGACACCTTTGTGATAATTATTAAAAAGCTATTGTTCTTATACTGGGATTTTTAGTAAGGAAAAATAAATGGGGATCATATGTCAGGGGAGAGAAAATTATTGTCACAGAGATGTTCACTTCTATTGTCTTAGATACTCTGAGCACTTTAAGTTGTGGTGGGAAGAGCAGAGCTCTGAAAAGGAAATGGTTCTGAGCTGCAGTTTTACCATTAATGCGCTTATTTGTTGAAATTACTGAGCCTCTTTTTGCCTCAGGCTTCTCTTTGGAGAATGTGGGTCATGTTCCATGCACGTTACATCTAGATCTTCGTATATACAAACTTAACAGTAACATGACTAGTTTAATATTGCAGAATGTTCCTCTGCTGCCATGTGTAACTGGTGAGAATATCACATTTACATGGAGAACAAGAAAACAAAAACATTGACATCCAGTCCTGCTGGCAAGTGATTTTTCATTAAGCAAGAACCTGTTGCATTTGTGCTCTTTGAATGAAAGTATTTCAAAAATTAATTTGACTTTTCTCTTATAAGCTCTTCAGCTGCTTAGATCTTCCCTAAACCATGAAACAGGTTCATGTGAAGTCAGCAAAGGCACAATCCACAAACTCTCAACATCAGACATGGTCACGTTTAGTTCCTCGATGCAGAGAGCAAAACGTGGAGAAGCATTCCCTGGGGCCTGAATAGTGTTAATGAGGGAGCAGATGTTTAGAGTTACAGACTGTACGGTGTCAGTCCTAAACATCCAACCCCAGATGGCAGAAGTATTGATGTGCTTTTTAAAAGAAATGTATTATTTATCAGGTTCCTCCTGCACATGACAAGGGGCAGTACTAACTGGTTATAGAGCAGTTAGAACAGTGCCCGGCAGATAGGAGTAAATAAGGCAATCACTATTCCCCCGCCCCACGCCCCTTTTCTCTCCTCCTGTATTTTAATTTTCCTTCTAAAATAAAGGACAGGATCTAAAAGCAGACTATAAGGAGATTACCAGGTAAAAGGAATTAGGGAAGAGGTAACAACGAGAAGTTCCCATTAGCGGCACATGGAGGCAGTGAGTTATCCCAGTTTTCTCTGGTGGGTGCATAGTTCCAGAGCGCCTGAGACTGGGAAATTCGTCCCTGGGCTCCCACCCGCTGTGGTGTATGCAGGATCAGGGAAACTCCAAAATGGAGACGGTTTCCACGGTGGGATGGAAGCATAAAGGAGGAACATCAAGCTCAGACCTGGAGTAGGGCTGGGGGGCATGAGGGATGGTCAGAGAGGGACCTTAAAAGTGCCTCAGTTCCCTTAGCCCTCAGCTCAGCAGCCTTCAGAATAAACAGAGGCCTCTGGCCCATCCCCCTCCTGTCCTAAGTGGGTAAATTCTGTCAGTTCTGATCGGGACTGTGCAACGCAGGCTGCCTCCGACCTGGGGATTTCCCTGTCTCACAGGCCTCTTCGCACAGACTCCTACTAGCAACGAAAGCGTCACCTTAGAATCCTTCTTCTGATTGGCTGAAACCTCATCCCAAAGGCTCTGGTTTAGACTTCCCCCTGACCCAGTCAGCATCCTCTCCCTTTTCTAGAGTTCTCTGCACTGTTCCTGTCCCTGCTGCATTGCTCAGGGCAGCCGCTGCAGACCTGGCCGGAGAGGAGGGAACTTGGACTAACATCCTGACTCCAGGCACCTCACCTAAATCACCCCGCCAGGCCTCTGTGGAGGCCAGGCTACTAGGGTGAGGACAGTGTGTGCTCCTGTGGGTAGGCAAGGGGATAAAGAAACAGTCGTTGATATGGGCCAGGGTTACAGTAGGGAGACTCTCCCCTGGGGACATCCTTATTCCCTCAGGGTGGAAGATTGAAGTTATGGACTCCTTTCTTGTGGAAATTCAGGGAGAAATTAATCTTCCCCAGTCAGCATCCCTTAGACTCTGTGCTTGGTCAGTGGGGTTAACCGTGAACATAATCATCATCTTGTCACCAGAAAGCCCATCCAGGACTCCATTCTGTATTCACTTCAGAAATCAAGAAATGTATATTCGAAGGGTGCAATGGCCTCCTTGTAGTAATAATATATGTCAGTAGTAATAATAATTAGATATACTGCCCCCAACAGAGATCAAAATGATAGTTGTCTGGGGGGTGGGGGCTAGGGGGGATGGGTGAAAAAGGTGAAAGGGAATATAGTAAAAAATAGTGTGATAAGTTTGCACGGTGACAAATGATTACTAGATTTACTGTGGTAGTCACATTGTAAGGTATATAAATATCTAATCACCATATTGAACACCTGAAACTAATATAATATTGTATGCCAACTATACTGAAATAAAAAATATGATTAAAAAAAGAAATACTGCCCTAGAGTATTATTTCCCTTTAATAAAAATTTATCAAGCAATCATCCCTGAAATTTTCTAAATCTTTTTTTTAATTAAATTTATTGGGGTGACAATGGTTAGTAAAATTACATAGGTTTCAGGTGCACAATTCTATAATATATCATCTATATATTACATTGTGTGCTCACCACCCAGAGTCAGTTCTCTTTCCATCACCATATATTTGACACTCTTTACCCTCTTCCACCACCCCCCTTCCCCCTTACCCTCTGGTAACCACTAAACTGTTGTCTATGAGTTTTTGTTTCTTTATTTGTTTATCTTGTTCCTTTGTTGCTTTCAGTTTTATATCCCACATATGAGTGAAGTCATATGGTTCTCAACTTTTTCTAACTTATTTCACTTAGCGTAATAATCTCAAAATCCATTCATGTTGTTGCAAATGGCAGTATTTCAACTTATCTTATGGCAGAGTGGTATTCCATTGTATATATACACCATATCTTCTTTATCCAGTCATCTGCGAAAGGACACTTTGGTTGTTTCCATGTTTTGGCCACCGTATATAAAGCTGTAACGAACATCGGAGTACATGTGAGGTGTGATAATTAAGCTTGCGAACTCATTGCAATGATGTTGCTAACCTTTATTTTTATATCAGGGGGATTATTCATTATGAATTTGTACCAACTGGACAAATAGTTAACCAACTTTACTATTTGGAAGTGTTGGAAAGGCTGCATGAAAAGTTAGATGACCTGAACTTTTCGCCATGGCTCTTTTCGTGGCTCTTTGTATCACAACAGTGCTCCAGCTCACACGGCACTGTCTCTGAGGGAGTGTTTAGCCCATAAACAAATAACTGTATTGGAACACCCTTCCTACTCACTTAATCTGGCCCCCAATGACTTCTTTCTTTACCTGAAGATAAAGGAAAGATTGAAAGGAAGTCATTTTGATGACATTCAGGACATCAAGGGTAACACGATGACAGCTCTGATGACCATTCCAGAAAAAGAGCTCCAAAATTGCTTTGAAGGGTGAAATAGGCACTGGCGTCAGTACATAGCTCCCCAAGGGAAGTACTTCAAAGGTGACCATAGTGATATTCAGAAATGAGGTATGTAGCATTTTTTCTAGGATGAGTTTGCAAACTTAATTGTCTGACCTCATATATCTTTACAGATAAATGTTTTCAGATTTTTGGGGTAGATACCCAGGAGAGGGATTGCTGTGTCATACGGTAATTCTATTCCTAATTTTTTTGACGAACTTCCACACTGCCTTCCATAGCAGCTTCACCAATCTACATTGCCACCAACAGTGTACGCATATGAGGGTTCCTTTTTCTAGACAGCCCTCCAACACTTGTTGTTATTTGTCTTGTTGATGATAGTCATTCTAACAGATATGAGGTGATATCTCACTCTACACCTTCAAGCCTCTACACCGTCCATAAAGTGGTCTCCCTAACAAGACATGTGACCAACTGACAAAGTACAAAATATTTACAACATTAAGAATTATATTCCCTGAACTGTCTTTCATATCCCTGTGGGAATACTATAGTTACCTATTTATGCTGTCTAATCCCTTCCCCTTCTCCCTCATCCCCACCCCCCTCCCATCTAGCAACCATTAGTTTTTCCTCTATATCTCTGAGACTATTTCGTTTCCTTTTGTTTGATGAAGTGGTGGCCTCAGGTTCTTCTCCTTAAACTCTGACAGCAGATGTAGTAAACTTCAGCAATTTTTGTTGGAGAAGTGAAGGAATTCTCCTATTTTTTGTGATTCTTTTGTTCATATGTTCAGCTACCAATTCCCTACTCAACTGTTTAAAAAATTAATGTCTTTTTTTAACTTAATTTCCATTCTCTAGGTACTTGTGCATTAATGCCACTTACATTTTATCTTTCTCAATAAAATATTCATCTATTTCTTCATTACTACTTTTTTGATCACTTACTGAAGAAGAACTTTCTTGCTCAATGTCAGAATTTTGGTCTCATTCTTCAACTTGATCTTCACCATCTGTGTCACTTTTGTCTTCAGATTCAAGGTCATTTTCATCATTATCATCAGACTCCATCAACATTTGTTGCAATATCTCAGCATCTTTCGGGTCATCTGGATTATAAAACCTTTGAGGTTGAGCCATTTTAGAAAGTAAAACCTACAAAGGAAATATATTACCCTAAACAGGTACAATGAATCTGTCAGATTAACTAGAAAATAAAATACCCAATTACTAAGTTTCAATAATAAAACTATACTTACAATCTCATACTGGAATGTCTGAAAGGATAGTACTATACAAAAAAATCT